AACAAAGATACATACATACATACATACATACATACATACATACATACATACATACATGTAAGGGGGGGGGCAAATTTACTATGTTTTTTTTTCTTTTTTCAGCATCCAGCCAGGATGGATTCTATACCTTAAATGTTAAATTTACTTTATGTTTAGATCACTTTTTCTGTTTTTGTACACCAATTGTTGTTGTTGTTGTTGTTGTTGTTGTTGTGCTGGATGTATATGTTTGTTTTGTTTCATTTGTTTTTCTGGTTTGTATTTTACCTTGTATTGTAAAACAAAATAAAAATATTTAAAACAAAAACTGGATAAAGAAAGCCATCAGATATTGAGTAGCTGGCAATAGCTGTCATTCCTTTGCTAGACAATCCAAATGAAAAAAAAATACCTTAACTGTCTATGATAATTTATTTTCCCCCCAATGTATTGTACAAAAGGAAGGCAAAAAAAATCTCATTATGCAGTAGTCCATTACAAAGAAGCACAGAAAGAAGGGGAAAAATATAAGACTTGGGCTTAATAGAACAATCAATAAAAAGGATTAGTTGTTTGCCTTTACACATACACATATTTATGTATGTATGTATTTATTTGTATGCCACCAATCTTACTGTACATAAGCATTACTGTGAGATAACAGTGGGAACCAGAACATGACCAGATGTCAAAACTCCTACTCTTTACAATCCCAGTTCTAATCTACAGTTGTTATTATTCCTGTGCTTATTGATACTCTTCTAAACAAGTTGAAACCTGAAACTAGAACCCAGTTTTTGAATATTCCCATCCCTCCCAGCAAACAGCAAGGGATCTTTTGAAAGAACTTCTGATGTCTTTTCTAAATTCTTTTTCTTTCTCTTCAGCTTCACCCTTTCCTTCAAAGTTCTCAGTTTTACAATAATTCCATAGAAGGGGTATATTTGAATGAGAAAGGAGATCTGACAGCTGACTTTGACATTTTGAACTGGGTCATTTTCCCCAACAAATCTGTCAAGAGAGTAAAAACTGGGAGTCTAGAAAAGGGGGCAACTCAGAATTTTGAAATTACCATTAAAGAGAAGAATATCACACAGGTGGAAATGCTGAACAAGGTAGGACTAATATTTATTTTAGTCCATTGAAGCTAGCCACAAGAAGACTTTTGGGATAGGTGGAAGATTTGTTTTCAATGGATTTGAATGAAATTGTTTTAAATGAAATTCAAGGATTTTTTCTGTAAGCTGATTAATATTATTATATAGGTTTACTATGCTCAATTGTTTAAGATATCATAATTCTAAGATGAGATAATCAATATTAATGTGAATGATGTTGTAAATGGTGATGATCATTGCATGGATTCCAAAGATGGAATGTTTATACCTTAATTTTAAAAAAAAAACTTTAAAAAGAAAAAGAAATTCAATGAATTTTTCTGTTAGCCAATCAGGTTTTCTAGAGTGTAAAATTCTTCTTTAATGGCCATTCTATTAAATTTTCATAAAAATGATTCACTATGGAAAGGGAAGTAGATCAAGCCAGACATGCAAGTTACATAGTTTAGCCAAACAGAAGATACTTCAAATATTTCCCTGACAAACTCAATGTCTAAATTTGAAATAAAAGAGTACATTTGTATTGCATGTGAAATATCAGAATGGAGGAGAAATAGACTCATCATTTGATGAGTTTCACATTTCTTATGGGCTCCTAATTTGTCACAGCTAATAATCAAATTTGTGATCACCAACACCTTCTTCCTATGGCATTTTCTTAAAAATGGGTTTATTTTTGGGACATTTTTGCATCTCTATCTCCTCAGCCCCTGCCTCCTTCCAGGTGTGTGGAAAGCTGTCATCCTGGATTCATGAAGGTGGCTCAGGAAGGGAAGCCCATCTGCTGCTACAATTGTCATCCTTGTGCAGAAGGAATCATCTCCACCATGGAAGGTGAGCAACTTCAAAGAAAAAGTGCAGAAATATGGAGTAACCATAGATCCTAACATTTGTCATGAAATGATGATTTAATTTGAAAACTGTTTTATTCCATTTTCATTTTCATTTCATACAATCACTTATATACTGTGCATTCAAAAAAAGAGCAATAAACA